GGGGTGATTCATGATGGTCTTTTACAGTGGAGGGGTGCCAAGTGCATCACTTTTGGAGGGAGTGAAGCAGATGTGAGCTAATTAAAGGCTTTGCAGGTGGTACTACAAATAACGAACAGCGTCGGACCAAAAATAGACGGATGTGAAGAATGGGAGAGAGACGTAGAACAGAAATGCATAGAGGCTCGTTCATCACATGTGGAGAGACCATGTGTGCTCTTTCTGGGCAATATTTCTCTCAGACATCTGCAGAGTTATTTTTGATGACACTGTTGTCTGTTCCTCGATCTGTTCAAAACTAGGCTTTTCACAACCCTTACATTATATATTGCTGTCACACTCTCACACCAAGAGCTCTGATAATTGAAACTGTTCTCAGGTCAGGAAAGGTGATTACATACATGAATGCATATGGAATTAGTATGCTAATCAGCCAAGATTTTTAATATATTATATGCATCAGAAGATTATACTTTATGTATAGATCCAACTCTTAATTCTGAATGAATGAGCTGCATTCAAAGCTGAACGCATATTTGTTACTGCAAATTTCACTGTTTAGTAATGTGACAAGTTGCTATAGTACGTTGCTTGGAAACTGTAAACAGCTTATAATTAGGTGTTTCACACCACATGCAGAAGCGGCACATATTTCCGCACATTTATTAACAGTATCCATGCAGCATTACAGTATTCATATTGCCAGTGAAAGCACCGCAAAGCTGCATGAAGAGTTTCGTGCTGAGTATTTTGACTCGTGGAAAACATATTGAAAATTCACTGTAAACAGATTTATCAACACAATTGACAATTGTTTTAAAAGTTCCCATTGTTTAAAAAGACTGTCAGGCTTGAAGTTCCACATGCAGTGACAAGGCACACAAGCGCTTTCTATTCAGTAAATCTGACTAAACGCAGACAATTGAAGGAGTTTATATTCTGCACTTTGGAGTTTGAGTTTCGTTCCATGTGCACTACAGTTCAAAAATTTGAGATCAATGGGGTTTTTGGAAGAAGTCTCACTACGGCTGGATTTATTTAATCAAAAATTCAGTAAAAATAATGTGAAATATTATTACAAGTTAACATAGCTATTTTAATATGTATTAAATTTAATTTATTCCTGTAAAGCAAAGCTGAATTTTCAGGCATCATTACTCCAGTGTCTCATGATCCTTCAGAAATCATTCTAATATGCTGATTTGCTATTCTATTCTAATATGCATCTTAAAATATATCAGTGCCACTGTTTTGTCTCAAGATGCACACCAGTAAGGTTTTTTTTTTTCTAAGGCACTTTAATACAATATACTATATATATATATATATATATATATATATATATATATATATGTGTGTATATATACTGTATATATATACTGTATATTACTGCCCCCAAACATTTTAATGCTACTAATATATTTATGTTGATTATTATTTATTAGTTTATCTATTTATTGAACATTAGTGTATTTTGATGTTGTTCCTGCTGTTTTGTAAAAGCAATATCCATTTAGGGGTAGTCTTACAGTGACTTTACCATGGTTAAGGGGGCTAGAACACCCAATGCTCATCCTCTCATGGCTTAGTGCTTTATTAAGTTCTCTGTAAATTCACAAGACACCAATTTTCACCAATTTGGTGAACCAGGTTCAAGGTATTTAATACTTGACAGGAATCAGTTGAAAGGTCATTACAAAAGTAGACTAGTTAACTGAAGACTTCTCCATATTCTTTAGTCTTACCAGGTCTGTGGAAATTAGAGGAAATTGAGCAAATTCGGAGAGGAATGCTGTAATCCGATTCCTGCTTTAATTTTTGATGGATTATGTAATTTAAAGTGGCTTCATCAAGGGCATCTAGACTTTATTCACATTTATATTGCCAGTGTTTTGTCAGCGTATTGGTTTCTCCCATATTAGTTAAAGGACAAAACATTTATTTATGACTTCCAGAAGCATCTTGGTGCTTTTATTTAAAAATTTATTTTGGAACATCTTTACTTCATCGTCACTGAAACACACACACACACACACACACACACACACACACACACTCTGATGAAGCTTTCTGCATACTTTCTGTGAGTTGAGAGTGATGTGATGCATGTTCACTGACAGCTTGTGGTGTCAGTACACCAAACATATGGTGACAGCAAGTATGTGTAATGAATCCACAACACTATTCATAGCAAGCTATTAATATGAACAGGATGTAAGGCATGACAGAAATATCGCACTACAATTTAACTGACATTATAAAATACAATTTATAGGCTGCTTAAATTAGTTTGAGAACAGGTTTTTTTTCTGTTAAACTCTTGCTGCTTCGTCATGTCTGTTAATGAAGAATTTGCATTTAACTGAAAATGATTCCGCTATTATATCAGCAGCTGAAGAACCAGCCTCTTTCAAAGATTAAAAATGTAAGACTTGGCCTTCAGACTTCATAAATAGCTTTACTGAGTGTTTGTTTCTGTTAAAAAGCTCTGTGTGATGGGATTTTCCTTCATGTAGGAACCCCGATGACCTCTTAATGTGCTACTCATAAACCAGCCTTAGAAGACACTGTGGTGGCTTCTAATCCCATTTAATTAAACTGACTGAGATGCCAAAAGTACTGCAGAGAAAGACAGACAGCGAGAAATGTGGTTCAGGGTAAGATGAATGTTTACTGGGAGGAGATTAAAGTTTGCTCCTAACTGTTGGCTTGAGGGAAAGAGGTCTCACTTATTTCCGACAATAAGCTATCAATCAGTTTCTCTTCTCTTGCCCAGGAAATTGCAACCAAACAGATGAGACACTCGTAAAATTCAACTAAATTATTAATCGTTCAGAATTTTAGAATTAAATTAGAACTCCAAAAGTGTCTCTCTTTCATTAAAAAAAATAAGGAAACTTAAAAAAAAACAAAAAAAACAGGTCAGAATGTGCATAAATATGAGAAGATTGAAGATGAAGAATGTCTAGCAAAAGTATTATCATTAGGTAAGCTGAATTTTGCTTGTAAACTGTGATGAATACTGAACCATTCCCTGCTGAAAAAAACCCCAGCTTATTGTTTACAATTCACTAACCAGTTTAGTTAGTCTCCTAGCCTAGCTGCACTGGTGTTCAACTGGTTTGTCTGGTTGGTAGTTCTAAACGAATCTCTAAAATTATTTTGTTTGCAGATGCCACTTGGTATGATACATTGTATGGATGTAGATGTGTATGTATTTATATATTTATGTGTTTATTTATGTTTAATAAGCTAGCTGAAAATATCATAACAATATACATCATATCATTCAATATACAATATACCATTCAAAATTTGAGGTCAGTATTTTTAAAATAATCCTTCTGTTCATAAAGTATTCATTAAATTGATCAAAAGTGTCAGTAAAGACAATTATAAAATGTATCATGGTTTCCACAGAAATATGAAATATTAAAAAGCACAACTGTTGTCAACATTGGTAATTATAACAACATGTTTCTTGAGCATGTTTCTTGAACAGAAACCCTCAAAGTTTTGAATGGTAGTGTAAGAGAAGCCTCAGATTTGAAGTTTTACTGTAGCGAATCTAATGATCATCTAATCATGTCACTTCCAAATTCACACATAAGGATAATTCCCAAGATGATTCTTCCAGCAATTACACACATTGTATGGAGGATTCATATCTGCTATGTTCATCAAATCCTACATTTCACAATCGAGACCGTATCCACTGGGTTATGATAATGAATAACTGCACTCAATTCTATAATTCTATCCTTACTTTCAATATATTACACAGTCATGGCAATAATAATGCAGTATGAATGTCAATTTTAATCCTGCCTGTCAAGGTGGATATGAACGGAGCAGGAAGGAGGTGCTGGCTTGTTCTTGAATTTTTACAGATTCTGTGAAGCACATAAACTGCTCTTGCAATTTTAAACAGGGCAAATCGCTGCACTTTCAATATCCCCCCTTCACGAAATGGCAGGAGGCTCTTCAGCGCCGAGCTGGTATTTACATCCTAAAGCTTGTCACTCTCCCTGCTTTTTTGTTTAGGGGGAAAT